CTCTTCAGGGTCCTGGTGAGCATGCATTGTTGCTTGAGCGATATGTTCCTTAACCGTGGAGAATGCTTTCCGTGCAGTGTCATCCAGATTGATGGATTTCGCATTTCCACGAAGTTGGTCGGTAAGGGGTTTCATAAGTAACGCGCATTTTGGTATGAATCGTCTATAAAAACTTACCAGACCGTTAAACGTGCGCAATTGCTTGATGGTGGTCGTTTCTGGGTGATCCAGAATGGCCGCCACTTTTGTTCTAAGGGGTCGGATACCTTGCGCATCTATAGTGTGTCCTAAGAAGTCTAAGGAGTCGGTTCCGATTTGGCATTTCTGAATGTTTACAGTAATGCCAGATGCTGGAGATGTGATTCTCTGTCCACTAAAACTGTGGTCAGCATCCAATGTCGAAAACTTACAGAGCTATTTAATTTTTGGGAATTATTTACCGCTACAATGTAGACCTAACTTAGTTATAAAGGCTTGCATTCTTATCTAATTTATTCATACACGGTCATCGGGTGAAATATAAGAAAAATGACAATGGTATGGCGTTTAATTTTACCATAAATATTCTCCACCCAATTTTTAAAGCTTTTAGCCATTCATAATTATCCAGAAAATACTTTTTTGAATGAGGAGCGTGCAGGATAATGTACTGAGGAAAGCTGTAGAAGCGTAAAAGAAAATATGACCCGACCACTAAGTAAGCACATAAGGTGTAATAAAACCAGCATAACACTAAGAAATGCTACAAAGGTCAGACTATGCCAATTCGACAGTCAAAACTTTTGGTGTCAGTATGTGATTTCTAATCTCTCACACGTGGACGGCATGCTTAAATAACGCTTGTATACTTTTTTACCAGTATGTTTTTACTCATGAAAACAAAGTCTTTGTAGGTTAATTTTTCTGTGTGGTATAGTCAAGCATAGATTCAGTGTATTTAAAAATTTTGGTGATCGATTATTTGTTAAATTTTTTAGTAGTACATGAAACTTCATCTAACAAGAACATTCATCTATTGTTTGCACTAAATTATTTACAGAATTTATAGTTTATCTCTTGAGTAATTTCTCTTTAGGTATGTATCATCTAGAAACTTGATTAAATTGATAAATTCCATTTGTGAGAATCATAAGTTGAGTCTCTTAAAGTTTGCTTTTATATAAGGCTCTTTAATGAGGTGTGCTTAAAGGTGTTATATTAAGTAATATTTCAAAACTGTTTTAAAACACAAAGATACGTTCAGTTAATAAAACACTTTCAACATTGATGACACCAGAGACTGTAATGCAAAGAAGTCTTAGTTGATTTAGATGTGTGAAATCAGGAAGGTGAACATTCTGAAAAGTGAAGTCAGAGTTTTAAGAATACGACTTTACTAGTTTGTTTAAGCAATTACTAGAAAAATACTTCAAATGGTGATTTTTTCAGAGGATCAAGCTTTAAATGTGATCACAAGGTATTAAAAAGCTGATTGATCTTTTTAAATACTTAAATTCTTATAGTTACTAAATTTATCATTTTTATTTACATAATTATTGACATTATTTAGAAATTTTTCGTTAAAATGCAATGGCAAACGTCTGTTGATAGATGTCACTTAACAAATTAAACTGTGTGAACTATAATACGAAATTCGTGAATCAAAACAAGTGAAAACATTTTTATATCTAATCAGTTTTAACTAACATCACAGAGTTGTAAACATACAATAACTAGTTATGAATTATCAGCCAACTTGATTACGTAATCATCAGTATTTGTTTAATTTCTATAAAAATATCAAGTGTTTTTCTGTTATTATAAGGAAGTAATGAGTAAGTTTTGTTTCTCAGAATGATCGATATGTTGCAGCTTGTTCATTGTATAACAGATCACGTGTTATTATTTATGTCATTCATATTGAACATGCCCTATTAACTAAACTTTGTTTAATACAAAATTTGGATTTACAATTGAAAATACTAAAAATTAACAGCGCAAAATAGACTAATTTACATATGCAAATATAAGCTTCTGTTCAAACGGGTTCGCCAAGTTCTACTAATCTCATATCATTAATTTATAAGTGTTTATACTTATATTCTAATACTTTTGTTACTCAGTTAAACACAATCTAATGAGTCTTTAAGATTTTGAAATAATTGTACTTAATGATGCGCTACACATGTAACTTACAAGCCAGTAAACAAATCGTTATAAGTATGCTTATTACAAATATGTTTAAGTTGTTTTCACATGTGAGGAGATGATGCAATTAGTGATAATTTTATTACCATAATAGGTGAGTTCAGGGTACTTTACAGAAACAGTTATATATATATATATATAGTGAGCTAATTAAGACGATCACTAAGGAATTTATTTAACTGTTAAAACTGGTCACCAGAGTTCATGAATAAACAATAATAATATAATTTCAATTATGTTGGAATCATTTGATAATAAATACTACGACAGTACACAGTTGAGTGAATGGAACATAGAAATTTCTTTAGAATGAAAAAAGTAAAGACGGCATTTACTTGTATATAATCGCTGTTTAAATAGATAAACAATATACTAAATAAAATTTCTGTCGTAAAACCTTTTTATTAGGGTAATTTATTTAAGGAGATTATTCATTTTTAAATATGTTTAATCACAAGATAAAATCAACTGAAGAATCGTTTAAAATTAAGAAACAATGAATTTATGTTTCTTTTTAATACAGAACCTTAAGTGGCCATATCTGACTCCAGTTATATCATATGATCGATTGTTATCGAGTTATGCATGTCACCGATCCTCGTATATAATCATCGACTTAACTCGCGTAAGTCAATAACAAAATTCAGTAAGTTAAATACGAGAATGAATCTCGAATGCGTATAATTTATAAAATCATTGACGATCACAGATACGAAACGAAGTAAAGAACACAAAGGGAAACAAAGTGATGAGTAGTGGAGAAAGCGTGTGATCCAACTCGATTTAGCCAAACGTGAGTCGATATTTAAAGTCAGATCAGTTACAGATATGTGATGAATAAGATAAGAAATGCACATGAATACGCTCACATAAAAACAGTCAAGGTTGATAAGCGAATAAGTGATGGGGTGAAAATTTGGTTTGAGAAGAATGAATAAACTGATCTGTCCATCGGCGAGAATAAGCTGTGGGCCTGACATAGTGCCAGAGACTACAAACCCTTCGTTAGTGCAAATCCACTGTCATATTTGGAATAGAGCTCAAGAAATCAATGTCAATGACTCAATATTACAACTTTAGGTGAGTTGTTCAGAATTTAGCAGAATACATTATCGAATCCAGTCAATTTCATGCATTGTATTAAATTTCAAATTCGATACATGACTGAATTTCATTAATCATAGCTTTGCATTGGAATTCCTCATATCCCCTTCGAACGTAATCATCAAAAAGCATTTAGATCACAGCAGTTTTGGGTTATGTTCACTTGTTTCGGGAAAAATGATATTTTATTCAACACCAAATTATAATATTTTAATTATGATTGACAAAAATTAAGTCGTAAAATAATTGACTGTAAAACACGAAGTGTTACTTAAATAATGTTCAGTAGTAAAAAAGTTGTGAATTAAATAATTTGCCATATATTGTGATGAGTAAATGATTAATTGATGAACATTGTGTTAACAATCAATCCTCTTCAGAAGAATATAAAACAATGAAAGCAATCATAATATTTCGGACAACTCACCTAATTGTACACAGTGAAAAGTAAACTACTTTACTTTTCTTTATTGGTTAATTTTTATTATCACCAATAAACCTCTGTGTTCACATTTCCACATTTCACGGAATTAGTAATTTTACAAAAACAAAATTTTCATATATATACCATTGTACAGGTTGATAATAAATTCGTTGAAAAGAGATCTCTACGCTGAATTTCGTGTTTTAATTTCAATAAATCTCGATTATGCAAAGGGGATAAAATTCACTTAATTTCTCACAAATAAAACACCTGTCATTTTGTCAATACGAATTAATTGATATATTTACACCTAAACAGTCTGGTTATTAGTTGAATGTAGCCTAGTCTTTCAATACACATAATAGAATATTGTGATAACATTAAGTTATTTATATGTAGAGCAGAATGAATACAGTAAAATTTTTGAAACTCGACTGAGCATCAGTTCGAGCTTTGAACTTAAATTATTCCGGAAAAATAATTGAAAATCTATTGAAATTTGCATGAATAATTCAACAGGAATAGTGTATTGATCTTATTTAGGGAATAATCAAAGTTATATTTCTCGTTCACATAATTTGGTTTTAATAATATAATGTCTATAGTAAGGTTCTCCATGCTCTATTAAAATTTTTTTCAGAGTTTACACAAGTTTATTCAAAGAATTCTCCTTGAATTATTCTAAACAGAATCAGTAAACAAACTGACATTGCTTCATAATAAATAAATACTTAGTGTCCTACAAAAAGTTGGTTATTGTGTGAATAGTTGAACGGTATGTTCATTAACTGAGTCATTAAATAACTCAAGTATCAATCTTATGCATTATTATTGATAAATTCCTTTCAGAATATAAATAAGAAGTATTTAGTAGAACACCTAAATTCAGAATATCATTACATTTTCGTTCATCTTCAATATTCTAATTGGTAGAAAGTCACATGTTATTTTAAGGTTTAACTTATTTAGTTATTTCTACTGCATAATTCTCATAGAGCAACGTAATGTTTGGTTACTTTCAGTTTCCTTTAAACTGTAAACACTTACCATTATAATAGAAAGAAATAAAAAATAATGATAACATTATTTCTATTCTATTTATTCTTTATATAATTAATAAAGACTAAATAATGATAGATGGACAGTAGTATAATAACAATATTGTTTCTGTTTATATCCAATCAAAATGGTTTATTATGTCCAGATCAGAAGAAAATGGTCTAATTTTAATATAGACGTATAGGTATACTTTTATTAGCTAGAGTATAAAAATTTTTTTTCCCAGTGAGGACTACATGTAATCATTATACATTCTTTATATTTATTAATAGACATATATATATATATATATATATATTCCATGTTAATAGAAAAAAAAACAAGAAAAAACAGTAAATGGTAAATAGAATTGGATATAAATAAAGTTTTTGAGTATTCAATCAGACTATTATTTTCATACATTACCAAGTAATAATACAAGTGTAACCGACAAAAGACATAATAAGAAAAAAGAGTTTGTGCTTTCTTTCCTTTTTTCTTAAATAAAAAGAAGAAAAAAGAAAACTTTTTCTTCTATTCAATAAAACGAATAACCAAGTAAATGTTTGTTTGGAAAAAGGGAATAATGTAAGTTTATATGATGATATTTTTCATATTTTGTTTTCTTTTTTTAACTTATGTAATTTTTAATGTTGCATTGTATGTGAATAGAACATATTTATACCTCGTGGTGACAACTATATATATATATATATATATATATATGGATACAATTTTTAGTTGATATGTAGTTTGCAATCAACCAAGTTAAACAGAATTATGTAATAATTATAAGTGATAGTTGTTGACATCAATAGTCTTTGTTAATTGACAAGAGCTAATCTATTCTACAAGGAATAATAAAGATATTTGAATATATATACATATATATATTGGTTATTTATTTAATTATCTATTTATAACAATAATAATTGTTATTGTTTTTCTAGTTTCTTTACTTTTTAATATACATTTATCTTGTTGTTATATTTATGATAAACTCGTATCCTTTGTAAAAGATATTTAAAATCATTTGGTACCTGAAAGCTGTTTCTTATCTTTGAACTGCACACTAATAAGTACCTACAATTCTTCGACCGACTTCGTCTTGATTCACCAATGTCTACAGTTAACATGATACTTTTAAGTACAGAAGTTAAAATCCATTGGTTTATACCATCAAATTCAGGTAATATATGATACCATAGGATATTGGGTTACTGTAATATATGAGTTACTAATATACTTTTAACCAAGTTAGTATTAAAGATTGCTTTTCCACACTAAGATATCAAGTAAATCATCTCATAGCTGGTTACTGGTTTTGATAGCTGGTTTAAGAAGACATTTTAGTTGGAAGTTAGTCTAAATCACTGACCTGTCACTTGAAATCGCAGTCAATCTAAAAATTAGTAGTTGAGTTCATGAGTTAATTAAAGCTAGACCACCATGGAAAACCTGGGAGCACTGGACGGTTATTTTGTCCTACTGCAGGACTCCTCAGCAGTGCACATCCACGATCCCGCTCGCGGGATTCATGCGCGAATGCTTAACCTCTAGATCACTGAACCGCTATTCAACGGTGATAATGTCTAACTTCAACCAATCCACGAAATTAAGCCACCGTCCATCTAGAACTGTTTGGTATTTGTTTCAACTTCATTTTAGTTCGCTTTCACAATTTTAAGGTTTAAGTCTTATATACTTATGTTTAATAATTTATTAATATGATTTGATTTCCCTCTGACTTATCTTTCTTAAAAAATGAGCAGTATTAGTTCAACGTTTCATTGTCATCACTGCCATTATAATACTACATTTATACATATTTAAAGTGAAAATTTTAAGACCAAATAACACAGTTCATTAACTGATAAATTTATTCTGTTTTACATTTTAAGTGATAAAAGGAATTTTACAACAAGTACTAATTTATCATATAATAATAAATGATTTAGATATGACGAAGAGTAACAGTCGTAAGTAAGAGTATGATTTAAATAGTTTATGTATTACTAAAATATAAACTTTTCGAATAAAACATTATTGTTGAGTATTACCAAACAAAATCAATACTTTTGAAAAGTATCCCTTTAGATCCTAAAATTTCATAATAACAGGATTTAAATACAAAATGAAGTAAATTGAACGTTAAACAGTTTATTCATCTAAATAAATATACGAATAATTTGAAAGAAACCTGTTAGCCACACGAAGAAAAGTTACATTTTGTAGATTATACTGTGTATATTGTCATCAGAAAAGGTATATGCAGAATATTTATGTATATCTGATTAATAAAATGTATGTATTGACTTTTGAGTTTTGTTTACATTTTCACACATCAGTCTGCAACTATATTTTTCTCAATAAATTTTAAATTTCGAAGAACATTAAGCGCTTGAGCTCGAGACTGATAAGTCCTGGGTTGGAATATCGCGAAACTGCAGGATCGTGGATGCGCACTGCTGAGGAGTCCTATACTAGGACGAAACGGCCGTTCAGTAATTCCATGTTTTTCATTGTGGTTTGGCTTCAATTGACTTATGATTTCAATTATTGAAAATAACATTAGTTAACACTGAACAGAAAATATGTATAACTATCTTAATTTAAAGGATTTTTGTTGGAGACCGAATAACATTGTAGTAACCTATATTTCAATGAAAACATGTGTTCCAGACTTGAATTCTATGAGCACATCCTACTGATGAGTTATTTATTTGAACATATAAACATTGGTACAAGGGAGCATCAAATACTTATGCACCACGCAATAAAAATGAGGCCGATGGCAGTTATCATTGATGTATGTGAGGGCTATGAAACTGCCTGCGTGCTCAAACCGAAGCAGGTGTTTTCCTTTGAGGGCCACACCTGGAGCCTTTAATCTAAATGTCTAATCCACAAGGCAGATGAGCAAATTTAGGAGATGCAGTGACCAACAATAGATTCATACTTCATTTGTTTCCTTGGAATTCTGTAGCCCATGTGCACCACTGGTTTGGAATCAAGGTAAACAACGTCCCCACCACGAGAAGGCCGTGAGTAGGACTTCCATAACAGTGGCTGTACTCGCGTGGGCATGTGAGAGCATTTCGAGAGGGAGAACGGACTCTCCCCACCTACAGCCGTACCAGGACATTTGGGGGCTACTGATGAGTACAAATTAATACAAGAGATAAGTCCAGAACGATTGCCTCTAACCACTCAAGATATTTACGTTTATAAAGAAACTTCGTTTAATCTCTACGATTGTCATTTAAATAAAAATGGCATCTTCAAAATATTTATTTACTGATTTTTGTGTCAAATTCATTTTATGTTGATTTCAGTATCTAATCGAATTTACAAAATCACTTACTTGATAACCATTAACTATTCAGAATTGAATTCAGATATTACAGTCTATCGTGCTGTAGAAGTTTTCGACGTTTTTACATGGTTACTTATAATATTGACCAGTTTTTAAGCAAAACATGAATAACAAAATTTGTGAAAAAAGATGAACACAGATAATTTAATCTATTACGAAATCTCATTTCTTTTATTTTCTTTATTTACAACTGATGTTGTGCTCAATGGTTTCGATTAGTCATTTGATCACATTGTTTTATATGACGAATATGAAATTGTAATTATAGGGCGTTGTGAAAACTGTAGAATTCAGTTTCATAGCACAGATTAACTTTTGCTAAACAATCATTGAAAACCAGTTACGTTTTTACTAATGACTAACATTGAGAGGTAGTTTCATAAAACCTAGTTGGAAAACATGCCCGGTGGAGTCTAGTCATTCAGAGTTGGGTACCGAGGATTATCAAGCATTATCGCGAATCTCACCAAGGTGGAAATGTAAACCAATGAATAGTAAATCTATATCTAAAGTCTTTATTTTGATCTTTGACGGGATCATAGGTATACACTGCCGGTGAGTCCTAATCCATGACAAAATAACTGGTCAGTCCTTCCTGAATATTATTTGATTAAATTTACTTCACGCTGTGTAACTTTGAATATAAAACTACTTATTTTCTTAATAATTATTGTTATCTATATATTCATCCCCCCTAACTTCACACATCAATTTCCATTCATATTTAATTCTAAGTCACCTTTCGTTTTATGGTGATTTTGTACCCCATTTCCAGAATCTTACCCTACCAAACTTTCATTTCTAATCTCATTATAAATTGAAGCCACATTAAAACTGATGAATGTAAATTTATTTTATAATCTAAATCTTGATGTCTTTGTTTTGTACAAATTGATCAAAAGAATCAAAAAGATAAATAAACATTGATTTTTTTTTCATTTGTTTATATTAATAAAGCGACATATATATTTGATGTAATATATATATATATATATATATATATATATATATATATATATATATAATGGTTCCCATGTAGATGATTTAGTATTTCATTTAAATAATTAATGAATTCATGATTTGTTTATCTTGTATGTAATTATCTTATCTCTTAACGTTATTCATATTAAATGAAGAATATACTTTCATATTCAGACAGAAGTTAACCTATGGTTTAAACCGATTAATTTATGTACAGAATGAATGGCGACAAAATCAGCAGTTCAATTTCATATATATATATATATATATATATAATTGATAAAACAATAGACTGATAAATGGTATATATAACTGATAATTATCTTCACTATTCATTAATATTCTTCACAAATCCTCCATTACGGTATTAATAAGGTAGTAGATATATTTAGATATTTCATTATTATTATTATTTAACTTATTCTTAAACCATTATTTAGTAAACGTCTACATATATGTACATATATGTTTACATATCCTCTTGATAATATACCATTAATGACAAGATCATAGATAAATAATTCAATTAACTATGTATTTTATTATTTTTTTCTATACATAAAAGAAAAGTAAATAACTGGAATTTTCTCTTGGATATTACTTCCTTCTTTTTTAATCTTTGTGTGTATTTCTATGTTTAAAGATGAATAATTGAATAAGTTGTCAACTTGTTAAAAGGAATATATACATCATTTAATTTATATTGAGGAGGGGCAGAGGCAGGGAGAGTATTGAAATAATTCTCTTTTTTTTGTAAAATAATCAGTATTAAATCATATTAGATAAATAACAAAATGAGAAAGAAAATCTACGTCAGAAAGTAATCAAATTGTTTTTTACACCCCCCTCGATTTTTTCTTTTTGTATTTCATCAGTGTTTTATTTGATGATTGATACTAATTGATCATTTCTGTTTGTTACAAATTAATGTTAGGTAATGAATTCATAGTTTAGCATAAGATAGTATTTGATAGTTGTCTTCGTTTTATTCAAAATTGTCAATAAGTTTATGCTCATGATAAATTTAACATAAGACGTTTTATACGAATATTCGTCAAGATTAGAAGGAATAGTTTGACAGAAATTGAGCGCCGAGTATAGAGAAATCATTGTATGTGAAAATTATATTTGAAATAATCTCAGCGATTGAAATTTAAGTAATTCTAGCGTTTCGTCCATCTAACTTGTCTGGACTTCTTCAGGGTAGATTTCATGATGAACGTCTTACTAA